TACCTATGAGAATTTGCAACCTTGTTATGAGTAATGGGCGCCTCTCGCTTCTCTTCAAGCCTCCTGAGATTTCGTTGTTTCATCTAAATCCACCCAAATTCTGTGATCTTTAAAGGTGGGGAGAGTGGAAAAGTGCTTCCTCGAGAGAAGAACTGATTGCAAAGCATTGTTCTAATTTCCAGTTCAGACCTATTCAAGCATCAAATATTCTCAGGTGTAATGTTTGGTTGCCTGAAATGTTGGKTTTTTTCCCACTTCTTTTTACTTTGCTGGTAGAACGAAGGATTTGATTTAACATTATATGCCTGGAAAAAATAAAGCATTTAATTTACATTTTACAAGGCAGTTATTGCAGGTTAATTAAATATCAATTGAGTGTTATAGGCCATATTAAGATTTATTAATAAYCCAGCAGATAAATCTCCTTGGAATTCAATTAAACGAAAATCACATAAAAATATATGTGCAATTTTATTCATATAATACATAAAACTTGTGAATTATTGTGCAGCGTTGCACAGTAAGTTGATTAATGGGAATTAATTGCTGAGATGGAGAAAAATCAATTTAAACTTCCTGCAGCAGCTTTAAGAAGCTTGGCATTCCTCTTCCACAGCCTTGGGAAGCGGGGTCTGTGCCTGCACTCAGCCTGTTCCACTCTGCCATGGGATGAGGCTTGGGATAAACGTGTTTCCTCTCCTCTCAGGGTTTGGGCTGGCAGAAAGGGCTCAGGGTTTGGGCTGGCAGAAAGGGCTCAGGGTTTGGTTTGGCAGAAAGGGCTCAGCCACAGCTGCCAGCGTGTTCCTGGAGTCCACTGTGCCACCGCAGCTTTCAGGGGTGGCACAAGGTGACACTGCTGGGTGTCCGTGCTGCCGGACGCACTTGGGGCTTTGTGCCTCGTGTCACAGTCTCACACATGTCTGGGGAGCTTTGGGGCTCTTTGCACCCACAGATATCAGAGCCTTTTGCCCTCTGGGTGCTGTCCCCACTCTGTCCCCGGGTCCCCAGGCAGCTCTGAGCCAGGGTGGTTGCAGGGCAAGGCAGCATGAGGGGCTCGAACTGGGGTTAGCGAGCAGCTCAAGGCCCTTTTGGGGAAGCAAAGCTTCYGACATCAGACATGAGGGGCAGGAGCTGGGCTTGGAAAACATCTTCCCATCCCTGCAGTGGGGCCTGGCCCGGTGCCACGTGCTCCCTGCATCCTGAGTTAACCACTGTCAATATGAGATTATGTTCCAATTACAGTACCAGACTGACTGGTTTAACTCCTAGCACGGATCTGTTTTCCTTTATTACCATGCACTGCCTCTGTGACTGATGTACCAGACACCAAAAGAGATGGGCTCTGCCCAGAGGGCTTTGTCTCACAGGAACAYGCCGGGAGAAGACCGAGCACGGCAGAAAATGCAGATGAATGAGTAACCCAGGCCAGATCTTCTTTTTAATTTGGGGGTTCTTTGCCTGGTTCTGAGTTTGGCTTGAGTTTTAATATTGCTAAATTTGCTTCCTCCAGACGTTGCACAAGAGCAGAKCCTTCCAGAGGAGCCCAAACAGAGTTAGGCATGTGGCTCTTTGAAGTGAGCAAGTTGCGGGGTGAGCGCTCAGGAACGCTCCTGGAGCTTGGAAAACCGAGGGAGAGMCTTTTTCCAGCTCACACAGTGACTCCAGGTGAGCCATGGCCCATCTTGGGGAAGTCTGGCCATGCTGGAGATACAAGCAGGTGTCACTCCTTGTTGATCCCCCCTGCTCCTGCAGCAGAGATTGCCTGCATCTGCCTCCTCTGTGCTTCAGCTCTGCTTCTCCCTGCAATAGTTGTCAGGGATATTAGCATTAAATACTTACTGCCTGGCTTAACTAAGGGGTAAGATAGGATTTAATTTGTATGGCTGAAATCCAATTATATAATGGAGCCCCTGGGGGAAGCAGTTATACCTGCTGAATCTCTTGGATGAGTAATTGTGCACAAAGGCTCCTCTCCAGAACTAGAAACAGATCTGAAAWWTTTTTTTCTTTTCTCTCTTTTCGCTGCTGCTGTTACGTAATAGGGCTGAGACCCTGAAAAGAAAAGCCAATGACAACCCAATGCAGTAGAAAGAATTAAAGCATTGCCAGGGGAAAACAAGTTATAATCTGATAAAATCAAGGATCTAACAGGAAGTCTGCAGCAGCATTAGCTTGGAGGAGCCAAAAGGCAGGGCAGCCAAAGGAAGCTTACTCATCTTTTTGGAAAATAGCACAGAGGCTCTGCTGTCTAACTTTTCCCCCTATTTCCACCATGAACGGGGAAAGGGAATCCTCTGGTTGCTTTTGTCAAAGCCTGGGAGGTGAGTAGGTATTAAAAAAGCTGAGCAGMCAGCTAATTCAGATACTTTTGAAAAATCCTGCTCTTAACCACCTTTGAAAATCCCTGCTGCTTATCCAGCATGTCATCTGCAGCCTGATAAGCATCAGAATCACAGGTGATGATGAGCAGGACAGGAACAAAAGCGTGATGAGGTTCCCAGCAAGGTTTATGAAAGCAGGCAGACTTGTAAGGCATTAATCCCTGGGATAGTACTGGGGCTTGACAACTCTCCCATCTGATATCTGCAGCAGCTCCAAATCCCACAAAGGAATTGCCGAGGGACTGGGACTGAAGGCAGCAGCCTGGTGTACTTGTGCAAGGCTTCTCAGAGGTCAGAGCATCAAACTTCATTCCGTTTTTAAAAATAGAAAGCAAACTTTTATTCTTTTCTAATGAGCTCTGAGTGGAAAAAATAATTTCCTCAGTGTGATTACAGAGCTACATGCAGATCCGATGGTGAGTGCTTCCAGCCAGGGGAGGGAAGGCCAGAATTCCCAATGCCTCAGGACAGATCCTTCAGCCTCCCTGGGCAGGGATTTCAGCCCTTTCRGAACGCAGATAAATCCCAGCGAGGCTCCTGAGAGCGGGGAGCTGTTTCCAGCCTCGCAGCTCCACCCAGTGGTTCTTCTTTGGCAGAATAAATCCATAATTTCAGAGGCACCAAAACCTGTTGAGGCCAACGCTGATGCGCTGTGGAGGTGCTCTGGCCATGCCCAGAGGGTTTGAGGTTGTGTTTCTTTGTCAAATTATTAAAAAGTTGTCAGCTTTGTCAGTTGTTTGSATAATGGCAGAAAACTGCAAAGAGGCTTTTAGGGAATCAAAAATTCCCTAAAATCAGAAATCTTGTTACTGTCTTCCTTAACACCTACCCACCCCTAGCACAAATGGAAGGGAAAAAAACAATAGGGAACTGATAACTGACATGCTTCACCTTTTAAAATTTTCCGTGAGCAGCAGTTTGGGCCAAAATTTTTTTGTTATATGAAGTCAGTAATGAATTACCAGAACAACTGATTTCTGATTTGTAAACTCATTTTGAAAAAGAATTCTCTGGAATTGCGAATTCCAGCAAATTTAACTTGGCAGCTCTCAGTGTATTGCTCAACTTTCCTTCTTGGGTAATTACCAGGACTAACAGGAAGCAAATTTTGATCATTTCTATCAAGGATGCCATGCTGGAACTTGCTTTTTCCAGGAGTATCAGGGCMCTTGTAATTAAAATAAGCTTTTATTTATGCATGTGCACACTTTTACTCCAGGAACAGAGACATGGCTGCAGATCCACAGAATGCAGAAGTGTGATATCAAGAGAATGAATTTAGATTTGAACCAGCATTGTAAAAATACCCCATTACTCCAAGCTCAAGTGAAAACTGAATTCTCAGTTGTGCATAATGTAGATTTACCAGCCTCTCTGCAAGCCTGAGAAGCAGAGGAGCTGATGAACTGATAGAAACCCCAGTTTTGCTGTGAATCTCCTGGAAGAGCCTGCCCCATCTGTGAGAGGAAAAGGCTCCAGGGCCACGCAGTGAGTTGAAATGACCTCTTCCTCCTGGAGTTCAAACGTTATTTAGCATAAATGCAGCCCCTAAGGCCTTCACTTGGAGTTGCTTTCTGCCAGCACAGCAGCTGAAATGGGCTTTAATTTGCTTTCTTTGCTGCTGGAGAGCTCTGAGGTGAGAGATTTGGAGTTACAAACGACATGAAACCCACCTTTAAGCTTGCAGACAWCAGTTCTCCATCCAGACAATTAAAAGGTAAGTCAGCCTACACGTTATTAGCACGAGGGATCGGAGGTTTCCTTCACAGGGATAATATTTCAAAATAGATACAAAATTCCACGTGTTAAGAATAACAGGAAGCATCTTGCAAAAGGCAGTTCTGGAAAAGGGAATTATCTTTTTCTTTTTATTAGACTCTAAAACAGAGCAAGGACCTGCTGGGTTTTCCTTGTCTTCCCCAAAATTATCACAGAAAAGCCCTTCAGTGTCTGAGCCAGGTACAGCCACCCCACYGATTGTCCCAGAGTGTGGGTCCCCAGGCAAAACACTGGGACAAAACTGGTTTTGTGGGACAAAACTGGTTCACTGATCTTACCCAAGAGGTGTTTGCTGGGCACCATTTCCCACCTGAGCTGGTTCTGTCTTGTTCCCACCAGTGGCCCCTGCAGTGGTGTTGGAAAATACACCAATTAAAAAAAAA